TAGCCTATAGCTGAGAGATCCACTCTGGGGATAATTTGGCAATTGGGCTGGAGCGGCTGGAAGATGAAGTAAGTATAGAGGTGTTAGAGTCAGGGAGGTGGATTTCCAAAAATTACAAATTGACCCCCATTTGGGGTGCATTTATAGTTTAAGGACCAGAATTAAAAAAAAAATATATAATAATATGGGGACCAAAAATTGTAAAATTTAATCGATTTATTGATATTTAAGATTTATTTTAACATTTGAATCAACATAGATATGAATGAATTGAATCGTAAGATTTGAATCGTACACCATACGATTTTATGCTCGGTGTTGCGAATTTTCGTAAATGTGGCGGATATTTTGGATAGTGAAAGAGAGATCCACTTTGGGGTCAAATTTGCAATTTGGGTGGAGCGGTCAGGAAGATTGAGTAACTATAGGGGTGATTATGCAATTTTCAGAACTGCTTCAGCTAGGGAGGTGGATTTTCGGAAATTACCAATTGATCTCCACTTGGGGACATTTCCGGTTTTAGGACTAAAACTAAAAATGGTATATAATATATGGACCAAAATAATAATTATAACACGTTAATTATAAATAATATAATAAATTATTGTTTTCTTAAATCGTAAATCGTAAAATTTGATCGTTTTGTCGATATTTAAGATTTATTTTAACATTTGAATTGACTTAGGTGTGAATAATTAAATCGTAAGATTTGAATCGTAAATCATAAGATTTTAAACTCAGTATTGCGAATTTTCGTAAATGAGTTATGCGCAATTATAGTTGAGTCGAACCATACTGCGTTGGTGGCTGATATTTCGGTTATTACAAGAGAGATCTACTTTGGTGTTAAATTTGCTATTTGGGTGGAATGGATGGGAAGATGGAGTAAGTATAGCGGCAATTCTACAATTTTCAAAACTGTTTCAGTGGATTATCAGAAATTACAAATTGACCCCCACCTGGGGTGCATTTCTTGTTTAAGGATCAAATCTGTAATTATTCAAATTGTTACTCGGAAGCAGTACAAACCTAAAAACAAAACTTAAACGTACGCTACGAACATGATAGACGATTCAAAAAAAAAATTTATGCGACATACAATCAAATTTTTGGTTTTCAAATTTACCAAGAGGTATGAAAATACGAGAAAGATCGGATTACAAGTGTCGACATACATAAAGCTGTGAATACCTTCAAGTGCTTGAAATCTTCTTGTAATCTGATATATAGGAAATTGAAAAACAAGAAGAAAATAATAAATGGGAAAACAGAGAATGAATATGAGGTGAACGTGTGATTCCTCACCCGATTTTGTTGCATTCAAAAGTTCTGAAAATGCAATTATACGATCCAGGTTGCTTAAATTAAAGACCTAATAGCCCCAACTACGAAAACAAATATTCATAGAAGAGAGGGAGGGCTTTTTGCGATCGAGCAGCGATTTCATCCGCTTTCTTCAACAAAAGAAACAATCATAGAAGGAAATAGGGAAGGCCTTTTGAGATCGAGCAGCGATTCATCCACTTCCCTAAAGCACCAATATGCGCAGAGAAAATTGGAAAATATGAGAACACAAATCGAAAACTGCCGGAATTTATGCCTCGTGTGTCCAGTCGACGGAGGCCGGGAAATAAGGAGGTGGTGGAGAGAGGGAGCGAAAATTTTGAAGGATAATGTACAAGAAGTAAATCGTAAGGAAAAAATACAAATGAAGTCCAACGTCAAACGAAGTCGTCGGAAGCGCAAAGCTACTCGTTAGAGTGGCGCCGTCTACAGATGTGGACGAACTCAACTCCAGCTGAGAATTCACTCGGCCAAATAAAATCAGCTATAAGAAGTAAACTTCACTGGAAGACATCAATATAATTCTTGAAAAAGCGGCAAACCTGTATACGAACAGAGAGAGCAACAGCAAATCGAAGCCGAAACACCAAAAAAGGGCTAACCTGTAATTGAACATAGAAAACACGAAGAAAAAGAAAACAAAGGAAACAATGGCTGCGAATGAAGAAAGTAATAAAATTAGATTGGTTGAACACAAAAAAGAGAAAATTACAGGAAAATAGAAGAGAGTCACCTGCACCACGACTCAACCTTTGGAAGCCATAAGCAAAGAATCCCTTGCATAAGAGGCATCGTGCTGTTTCATCTCCTATATCTATGTGTAAGGGAACTAAAACTTAAACCCTAAATAGGTTTTATAAAGGTGTTGAAATCAAACAAATCCAAATGCTAGAAGAACACATTAACCAATTACATCGGTGTATATTCTGCAGATCATTTCAATATTATCATACCCTACTCACCATACCAGAACATTAATCATAAAGAAGTAAAACAAACTTTTACCTTTCCTCTCTTCTACCAGCAAATTTACTTAATTTTTTTTTCTCAAACGACTAAATGGCTATGTTCTCCCTTTCCTTCAGTTCTTCAAATTATCCCAACTTGCGTGAAAAGAAAAAAATATATATATATAGGCAGAAAAAATCCCCAAAATAAATGGAAAATGAAAAATTACCTCGTACCAAGACATATACAAATAAAACGCAAAACACACAGACGATTCAATCTGCTGTCCAGGCCTCACCTGACCGATCGCAAACCTTAAACAAAACGAATTTGAGCAAAAAGGTAAAGGCTGGTTTAAAAAAATATCTAAATATATTTTTGCTGAAAAAAAGAGAGTGCTTAAGTTGAAAAACCAATGAATGAATTTGAGTAGAAGGAGACGATAACAGTGAAAGTTAGGTTTTCTGTAATAGATAACTAATTGAATCCAAAAGGGGGAAAAAACAAAATTGGATTAAAGATAAGGAATAAAAGAAAAGGGAAAAGAAGGAGCAAGAACGTCGATCAAAGACCTCTCGAAAGAAAAATGAAGAGAAAAGACAGGAATTACGCAATTGGAGGAGACAAATATACACAGATGACGATGACATAGCACGAAATTGTTAAATTGGACAAACCTACTTCGAATTCCAAGTAAATAATGTCTCCAAGTTTGTTGATACCTTCAAATCCATGTTGACCTGTACATTAGGAAAATCCTCGTTAAAGAAATAAAATTTCCGAATATTATTTTATAATTGAAAAAAAGAATCCCAAATCTTCAATATCTGTTCCAATCTGATGAAACATATATCACGAAGAATTAATACAACATCCAATAACGAAGACGGGTTTTTTTTTTTTTTAATAATTATTATTAATGCGCGGACAATGACCTCACCTTCCCAATCTTTTCAGGCTCACCGAAGCAATCTAAGTAGTCATCCTGAACAGATATGTCAAAAGTATAAAAATGATGAAGTTTGTTAAAAACAAGTTAGTTGCGCAGACATCTCTCGTGCATGCAAAAACTAACACATGTACATACATTCAAGTAACCACATAAAAATTCGAAAACAGTTGAAAGATTCAAACAAGTCGCACAGAAAATACGAAAAATGTCCTGCAAGAAAACTGTGAAAGAAAGATAAATCCTGATCATCTTGATATGTAAGTAACTGTATTAATGGCTTTCACAGGTTTGGTTAACTAATGAAAACCAGAGATTGCATAACCTATTTTCTTAATGATTTTCCGACACAGAAATGTGGCAGACAAACTCACCTGTACTTGAAAGTAGATTCCCATATCAATAAGCACGTTTTGCACGGTTACATGGTTGTCTAGGTCCTCACCAGCCATGAGCAATGCGCATGCAACCTATAAAAATATAAGAAATTTAAAACTGAAACACTGTTCGTCTTTTGATAAAGGTTAATTAAGCGAAATTACAACATATCCCACTGACTGGAAGGTAAAATGAGTAGTAGGCAGTCTTGTACTGAACAATGCGGCGGTGACTGCAGAAATCAAACCAGAAAATCTTAAAGACCAAAAAAAGACGAGAAGGAAAATAAGTCTAAATGTTGGAAACTGTTATAATTGGTTCGGCATACTACAGCAGGCTTGAAATCGTTCAAAGGGCTTGGTTTATGGAAGGACCGGACTTGATAATTAAGGTAGTGCTGATCTAAGTAGTTATTTTGTAACTTTATTTAGACTATCTTTTTTTTTTCAATGTCAGAAGTTTGAGTATTATATACTCACAGTGGTAATGAGTATTTTGACAAATCCTTTTCTCCTTCATTAGTGGTAATTAAATCTATCATCTGTCCTGAGGCAGTTTGAAATTCAACCTGAAAACAGGGCAAATATTGAATTCAACAATTGCAAACAAATATTTTTGTTGGATCATCATAACTGAGTAGTTAATTTACCTCATTGAACAAATCAAGCAGATCCACATAAAAGAGACTTACTGGATTGTTTCTAAGATCCAATATGTATGATTGAACACCTTGACTCTCCACCTCATGAACCGTATTCTCCATCTCCAATGCTGCGGTCTATATAACACGATCGAAATTACCTTAATTAAGTGCATTTTGTCTCTATATTATATACCATTTTTGATTTAATAATACACCATTTTTTAATTTAGTCCTTAAACCGGAAATGCCCCCAAGTGGAGGTCAATTTGTAATTTCTGGAAATCCACCTCCCTAGCTGAAACAATTTGATAATTGCAGAATTACCCTATACTTACTCCATCTTCCCAGTCGCACTACCAAAATTGCAAATTTGACCCTAAATTAGAGCTCTCTTGCAATATCCGAAATATCTGTCACCATCGCAGTATGCTCTGACTCCTCCTCAGTTATAATCGTGTGTGACTCATTTACGAAAATTCGCAATACCGAGTATAAAATCATATGATTTACGATTCAATTCGTTCATGCCTAAGTCGATTCAAAAGTTAAAATAAATCTTAAATATCAACAAATCGATCAAATTTGACGATTTAGGAAAACTTTAATTCATTATATTATTTATAATAAACTTGTGATAATTACGGTTTTTGTCCCTATGTTATATACAATTTTTTATTTTGGTCCTTAAACCGGAAATGCCCCCAAGTGGAGGTCAATTTGTAATTTCTGAAAATCCACCTCCCTGGCTCAAACAGTTCTGAAAATTCCAGAATCACCCCTATACTTACTCCATCTTCCTACCCGCTCCATCCAAATTGCAAATTTGACCCCAAAGCGGATATCTCTTTCAATATCCAAAATACCCGCCACATTTACGAGAATTTGCAATGCGCGGTGCCGGTGCCTCGGGTGAATACAAGAACTTATCGTATTATGTATTTTCGACATACTTTCATATATCGATTTTTAGGTTGCATTTTATTATCTTTTTTTTATGATTAGGCAAAATTTGTGTCGAATGTGGCGATGGGAAGTGACGATTTGAAGTTGTCTACGAAGGGTGATGTGGGGTCCACTCCCTTAGAAACAAGGGAATTTGCTGGTGCACAAATGATTGTCAAAATATAAACTCGTTTCTGTGTTAACGAAAGCTGATTAATAAGGACTTAATTTTTCTTCCTTCCGTTAAAGGCTATCTGAATGACGGCGCGTGCGATGCGAAATAGGTATATAATATAGGGACCAAAAATCGTAAAAATTGATCGGTTTGTTGATATTTAAGATTTATTTTAACATTTGAACTGACATAGATATGAATGAATTGAATCGTAAGATTTGAATCGTAAATCATAAGGTTTTATGCTCGGTATTGCGAATTCTCGAAATTGTAGCGGATATTTTGGATATTGAAAGAGAGATCCACTTTGGGGTCAAAATTGCAATTTGGGTGGAGCGGATAGGAAGATGGAGTAAGTATAAGGGTAATTCTGCAATTTTCAGAACTGTTTGAGCCAGGGAGGTGAAATTTTTGAAATTACAAATTGACCTCCACTTGGGGGCAATTTCCGGTTTAAGGACCAAAATTAAAAATGGTATATAATATAGGGACAAAAATGTAATTATCACAAGTTTATTATAAATAATATAATAAATTATTTTTTTCATAAATCGTAAATCGTAAAATTTGATCGATTTGTTGATATTTAAGATTTTTTTTTAACTTTGAATCGACTTAGGTATGAACGAATTGAACCGTAAGATTTGAATCGTAAATCATAAGATTTTAAACTTAGAATTGCGAATTTTCGTAAATGAGTCACACACGATTATAGGTGAGAAGTCGTAGAAGCACGCTGCGTTGGTGGTGGATATTTCGGATATTTTAAGAGAGATCCGCTTTGGGGTTAAATTTGCAAATTGGGTGGAGCGGCTGGGAAGATAGAGTAAATAGGGTGATTCTGCAATTTTCAAAACAATTTCAGTAAGGGAGGTTATATATATATATATATATATATATATATATATATATATATATATATATATATATATATATATATATATATATATATATATATATGGACCAAAAGTCTTAAAATTTAAGTATATATATATAGGGATCTGCTATTTTCTTTTTATGCCTTTTCTTATTCCTTTTTTTTTGCCCCATTTAATTCCAAAACTGCACCGTTTCAATTCCTTCCTCCAATCAACGTCTCCTATTATTTTCTTTTTCATTTATTTTCCAAGTAGCTCGACCGTGACACGCCTGCTTGCTTTCAGTTTTTTTTTTTATTCCGCTTATTGCCAGACGACGGCGTTTAGTTTTCTTTTATTCTGCTACCTGCAACCCGGCCTCACACAGCGCCCACAACTGTTGACCTCCGCCACCCGCTTCGCCGGGCGTCCGCCGCCGCTTCGCCCGATGTGCCTATCACATGGCGCCGCTTTTTTCCTCCAGTAGTATGCCTCGCCGCCCTCCTCGTCTATATCTTTTCTACGGTTCAAGTTCCAACGGAGCCCTTTTTCTTAGCCAGTTCCCTATTTCCTCCCACTTCCATACGTGCGTTGTCCTCCTCCTGCCACCGCTGCAGAAATATTTATTGTTGATTCTTGCTTGGCGGAGGCAGCTTTGTTTCAGGATCCACATTGCTTGCGTGTGTTATTTGCGTTGCTCCTTGTGTACGGAATCACCTCGGATCTACAGGTTTTATGGGATAAATATTATTCTTCTTTTTCTAATGATTTTGCCCATTCTGGGATTTTGACCGAGGCTGAGGTGTTAAAAGAAACTGTTGCAGCTATAGACATGGTTCTTACTTCTATGGATAAATCTATAGCAGATTTTCCATTTCGTTTCTCCTCTACATATCGCCGTGGCGATGACCGCCTTAGCAGAGATTATGAGCATGAGTGTTCTATGGTTGTTTCGCATGAGGATATGCTCTCTATAGGTCGTCTGAATAGCGAGCAAAAATATGCATTCGATCAAGTTGTAGTGCAAATTGATGCAGGTGGGAGTGGAGTTTTTTTCCTTGACGGTCCTGGAGGTACGGGTAAGACATTTCTATATCGTTCATTGTTGGCGTATGTCCGTCATAAGGGGGGTATTGCTTTGGCTGTTGCAAGTTCGGGTGTAGCTGCATCCTTATTGCCTGGTGGTAGAACAGCGCATTCGCGGTTCAAACTACCATTTGATGTTGACGATAGATCCATTGGTAGGATCAGCAAGCAGAGCGATGTTGCTAAATTGATCAGGGCAGCAACACTTATTATATGGGATGAAGCGTCAATGGCGAATCGACATTCTATTGAATCATTTGAAGGGCTACTCACTGATATATGTGACGGGGCATCAGCTTTTGGTGGCAAGATCGTTTTATTTGGTGGAGATTTCAGGCAGACTTTACCAATAGTTGTGGGTGGTTCAAGAGATACCATGATTGGCGCCAGTTTAGTAACTTCTACTTTGTGGAGGGGTATAACTAGGCTTCAGCTCCGAAAAAATGTTAGAGCTAAAGAGGATCCTGAGTTTTCTGAATTTTTACTCAGAATTGGTAATGGAGTTGAGCCATTTATATTTGACGAAAATGTGCAGATCCCGGCATCCATGCTTATTCCTTTTCTCGATCTTCATGCTTCTTTGGATTGTCTTATTCGTCATGTTTATCCTGATTTGGACTATTTCTTGACACATCCTCTATGTTTAATAAATAGAGCCATCCTAACCTCCAAAAATGACTGTGTGGATGAACTCAATGACCTAATAATAGAGCGCTTTCCAGGACAAATCAAGGAGTACGTTAGCTTTAATAGAACAGATGATCCATTGCAACAGGGGGAGTACGAAGACTATTTAGGAACTGTTTCTGCAAACGGGCTTCCTCCCCACATATTAAGGTTAAAGGAAAACTGTCCAATTATGTTATTACGAAATTTGAATCCACTCCAGGGCCTCTGTAATGGCACACGGCTTATTTGTCGACGGTTAGGCGATACTTTTATCCATGCCGAGATAGCTGTTGGCGATTTTAAAGGAAACTTAGTATTTATTCCTCGTATACCTTTGGAGCCATCAAGTAAGTTAAAGTGTCCGATTCCTTTCAAACGGATGCAAATTCCTGTGAGGCCCTGTTTTGCTATGACAATAAACAAATCGCAAGGACAGACTTTACAGCTTGTGGGCATATACCTTAGGGAACCTGTATTTTCTCATGGTCAACTTTATGTTGCACTTTCGCGGGCGAAGTGTGCGAGCGCTGTTAAGGTGCTTATTCATCCAGATTCGAGAGCAAAAAGTTCGATTGATTATACAAAAAATGTTGTGTATCATGAGATTTTTAAATTGGCCGAAGGTGCGTTGCAGTACATTTTTCGGGAATCTTATATTTCCATATTCGTACTTTAGTACACTATTTTTTACTCTCTGCATTTCTATTTTGTTCTATACAGGTGCGCGTTCCTCGGGTTTACCAAATCCACATGTATGTCTTCAGTGATATTTAGTTCTCGGAATCAATTTTTGTGTTTGCTACTTTTGGCCATTATAGATGGTGCAGGTACATACATTTTCTTCATTCTCTATTACATAGTTTATACTACTACTGTGGCCGCTAATATTCGATAATCTCTATTATAGTTATCCCTGATTAATTATAAAAGTTAAAAAATTGCAGCCTAATTTTGTTTGTCGTGAAGAGTTATGTTGAAATGTCTTTCCCCCTGAAGTTTACTCATCGCTATCGCTGCTTGGAGTACACCTAACAATATTAGCATGCCTCTGGATTGCGCCACCAGTATATCCATATTCTGCAACTACAAAGTCAGATTTAGCAAATATATAAAAGAGGCTTTCGTAGGTATACTTATATATTTATATAATTATAATAATATAGTTATAGATATCTTGACTTATTTATAACATGTTTGATTAATTACTTTCATTTGACTGTCGGAAAAAAACGAAGGTGACAACTGGTCATTTGATCAAGAGTCCCAATTGCCTGCAAAGAGGCTATAGCAATCTTGTTCATGTTTGATCTTACCAGTACATGTACCTTCAATAGGTAACGTACAGATAAATTTTTATTAATAAGATTACCCTGTCTGATTTGTTGTTAATTCTGCAAATGAAACTTGTTTAATTTAATTAATGCAGTATAATTGGATAGTACATCGAAGCAAGACAGTGGAATCAGGTACGAATCTGGCTTTGCACCCTTTAATTAACAAATTCAACGTGGTCGTTTCTTAAGAGTAACACGATCTTCTCACATTACAAAAAAGTTGCTACATGAGTGAAATTGTAATAATTATTGTACTACAAAAAAGTTACTACAAAAGTCAAAATGTACATATTTCAGAGTATTTAATTATACTTAACATAAAATACATGAATTCAATACTTAAGATAACGAGAGTATGATCGTAGTTACAAGTTTATGTTAATTAATTTGATCATTCTTTTTAAAACTTTCACGATCAATCATTCATTGACCTTTTGAAATGCACTGTAAATTATATTAGGATGTTGTGCTTCAAATGTAGATAGTAAATTATAATAAGTGTTTCTTCTTTTGTAGGGATTGAATTTGCTGCTTTTGTTCAACTTCCACTACATATTCAGTGGACTGTCGTAATGGAAGAAAAATTGACTTTAAAAGGTTCTTGAGGAGAAAAAGTGTTGGAAGAAAAAATTGGAGCTACGGCGCCGACCCCGAACGGAGTGGCAGTGGCGGTGCGAGGGTTGGCCGAGATTTGAAGCAAGTCAATGGAACACCTGGACAATCGCCGGAAAACAGGTTTAATCGAAATTAAATAAGAAATCAGAAATGGGTGAGGAAGAAAACATCGTATTCAATTCAATGAACCTCAGTTCTGAGGATTAAGAGATATAGATGGGGAAAAAATATATTTCTGAAGCAGTGGCAGAAGGAGGACAACACATGTAGAGGAAAAAGGGAGTGGCTGGAGATATAGACGAGGAGGGCGGCGAGCCATACTACTGGAGGAAAAAAGCGGCGCCACGTGATAGGGGCATCGGTCGAAGCGCCGGCGGACGCCGGGCAAAGCGGGTGGCGGAGGTCCACAACTTTATAATTACTATTTTGGTCCCTAACCCAAATTGCAAATTTGACCCCAAAGTGGATCTCTCTTTAAATATCCAAAATATCCGCCACATTTATCATCACAAGTTTATTATGAATAATATAATAAATTAAAATTTTCCTAAATCGTAAATCGTAAAATTTGATCGATTTGTCGATATATGAGATTTATTTTAACATTTGAATCGACTTAGGCATGAAAAATTGAATCGTAAATCATAAGATTTTAAACTCGGTATTGCGAATTTTCGTAAATGAGTCACGCGCGATTATAGTTGAGGAGTCGAAGCATATTGTGTTGGTGGCGGACATTTCGGATATTGCAAAAGAGATCCACTTTGGTGTTAAATTTGCTATTTGGGTGGAACGACTAGGAAAATGGAGTAAGTATAGTAGTGATTCTGCAATTTTCAAAACTGTTTCAGTCAAGGAAGTGGATTTCCAGAAATTACAAATTGACCCCCACTTGGGGTACATTTCTTGTTTAAGGACCCAATTAAAAAAAATGTATGTAATATATGGACAAAAAATCGTAAAATTTGATTGATTAGTTTATATTTAAGATTTATTTCAACATTTGAATCGACATAGATAAGAATGAATTGAATCGTAAGATTTGAATCGTAATCATAAGATTGTATGCTCGTTATTGCGAATTTTCGTAAATGTGGCGGATATTTTGGATAGTGAAAGAGAGATCCACTCTTTGGGGTCAAATTTGCAATTTGGGTGGAGCAGTTAGGTAGATGGAGTAAGTATAGGGTTGATTGTGCAATCTCCACAACTATTTCAGCCAGGGAGGTGGATTTTCGGAAAGTACAAATTGACCTCCACTTGGGGGCACTTCCGATTGAAAAACCAAAATTAAAATTCGTATATAATATATGGATCAAATCTGTAATTATCGTAATTTTATTATAAATAATATAATAAATTAAAGTTTTCTTCAATTGTAAATTGTACAATTTGATCGTCTTGTTGATATTTAAGATTTATTTTAACTTTTGAATCGACTTAGGTATAAACGTCGTAATATTTGAATCGTAAATCATAAGATTCTAAACTCGGTAATGCGAATTTTCGAAAATAAGTCACACGCGATTATAGCTGAGGAGGACTTGAAGCATACTGCGTTGGTGGCGGATATTTAAGATATTGCAAGAGAAATCCACTTTGGGGTTAAATATGCAATTTGGGTCGAGCGACTGGGAAGATGGAGTAAGTATAGAGATGATTCTGTAATTTTCAAAATTGTTTCGGCCATGGAGGTGGATTTCCAAAAATTATATATATATATATATATATATATATATATATATATATATATATATATATATATATATATATATTAATAGGGACCAAAAATCGTAAAATTTAATCGATTTGTTGATATTTAAGATTTATTTTAACATTTGAATCAACATAGATATGAATGAATTGAATCGTAAGATTTGAATCGTAAATCATACGATTTTATGCTCGGTGTTGCGAATTTTCATAAATGTGGCGGATATTTTGGATATTGAAAGAGAGATCCGCTATGGGGTCAAATTTGTAATTTGGGTGGAGTTGTTAAGAAGATTGAATAAGTATAGGAGTGATTATGTTATTTTCAGAACTGCTTCAGCTAGGGAGGTGGATTTTCTGGAAATTACCAATTGATCTCCACTTGGGGCATTTCCGGTTTAAGGACCAAATTAAAAATGGGATATAATATAGGAACCAAAATATAAATTATAACACGTTAATTATAAATAATATAATAAATTATTGTTTTCTTAAATCGTAAATCGTAAAATTTGATAGTATTGCGAATTTTCGTAAATGAGTCATAGGCAACTATAGCTGAGGAGTCGAAGCATACTGCTTTTGTGGCTGATATTTCGGATATTACAAGAGAGACCTACTTTGTGTTAAATTTGCTATTTGGGTGGAACGAATGGGAAGATGGAGTAAGTATAGCGGCAATTCTTCAATTTTCAAAACTGTTTCTGTAGATTACCAGAAATTACAAATTGACCCCCACTTGGGGTGCGCATTTCTTTTTTAAGGACCAAAATTAAAAAAAAAATATATGTAATATAGGGACCTAAAAACAAAAATTAAACGTACGCCACGAACTTTATAGACAATTCAAAAAATTATGCGACGTACAATCAAATTTTTGGTTTTCAATTTTACCAAAGATATGAAAATTGTCTACATACATAAAGCTGTGAATACCTTCAAGTGCTTGAAATCTTTTTGTAATCCGATGTATAGGAAATTGAAAAACAAGAAGAAAATAATAAACGGGAAAACAGAGAATGAATATGAGGTGAACGTGTGATTCCTCACCTGATTTTGTTGCATTCAAAAGTTCTGAAAATGCAATTATACGATACAGGTTGCTTAAATTATAGACCTAATAGCCCCAACTACGAAAACAAATATTCATAGAAAAGAGGGAGGGCTTTTTGCGATCGAATAGCGATTTCATCCGCTTTCCTGAACAAAAGATACAACCATAAAAGGAAATAGGGAAGGCCTTTTGAGATCGAGCAGCGATTCATCCACTTCCCTAAAGCACCAATATGTGCAGAGAAAATGGGAAAATATGAGAACACAAATCGAAAACCGCCGGAATGTGTGCCTCGTGTGTCCAGTCGACGGAGGCCGGGAAATAAGGAGGTGGTGGAGAGGGAGCAAAAAATTTGAAGCATAATGTACAAGAAGTAAATCGTAAGGAAAAAATACAAATATAAGAGGCATAAACCAAAGTAATATAAAGAAGTCCAACGTCAAACGAAGTAGTCGAAAGCGCAAAGCTACTCGTCAGAGTGGCGCCGTCTACAGATGTGGACGAACTCACTCAGCCGAATAAAATCAGCTATAAGAAGTAAACTTCACTGGAAGACATCAATATAATTCTTGAACAAGCGGCAAACCTGTGTACGAACAGAGAGAGCAACAGCAAACCGAAGCCGAAACACCAAAAAAGGGCTAACCTGTAATTGAATATAGAAAACACGAAGAAAAAGAAAAGAAAGGAAACAATGGTTGCGAATGAAGAAAGTAATAAAATTAGATTGGTTGAACACAAAAAAGAGAAAATTACAGGAAAACAGAAGAGAGTCACCTGTACCACGACTCAACCTTTGGAAGCCATAAGCAAAGAAGTTCCGACTTTTTATACAGCATATGAAAAGAATATTAAACAATAGTAACAAATGAAATTGTTGTGTGAGTTTGGAGTCAAAGAAGAGAATTTGTAAGATATATAAATAACAAAGATCACATAATTCAAAATTCCTTGTAATAATCCGTCTGAAGCTGAATTTTAGCGACGTACCTCGGATCCAAATAGAGGTATGTATGCAACCCCAAGTTTGAAAAATTGTCGTGAGGGAATCATGGTCGAATTTTTTGACATAATTTCAAAAGTTCCATAGAAGTAGATAGTACAAACGGAGTCCAGAATAAAGGAGAAGCAAACAAAAGTGTTCCTTACAAAAGTGATGGATCGACAATGTTTTGTTATTCAAACTTTCAAACATCCACGTCTTCGTGACTAATAAGAAATTCCAAACTTCACAAACAAAAACATCAAAACCACAAAAGAGTACACAAAAATAGAGATGTTTCGGCAAAGACATACAATTATAACTCTTTACCTAGTAATATTGCCGAGTTGAACAATTGGCGGTGTAGCACAAACACCATCATAAAGTAGCAACAATACCAGTTTTTGAAGAACTTGTACCCTCTTGGCAGATTCGCAGCCAAAAAACAATAACCGATTACAATTTCAAAGAATAAATTGTAAATAATAAAAGAGCATAACGGAAACAAAAAATGTGCAACTCCCTATACATTTCAGAAAATTATGGTATTGGATAAAGAAATTTACTAATTCTGCAACTCCCTATACATTTATAAAAAATGATATTGGATAAAAAAATGTACATATTTAGAACCATATGCCAACGAGCAAGACTATGCGCTAAACAAACAAAAATAAAATCAAAATTACTCAATGAGCAAGAAAAATTCTTAAATACTCAAACTCACTCGTTTTTTCTGATATCTTGTAATAAACAAAACCTGGTGATAACGAAATGATTTCTTCCTTCCGTGATATAACATGGCACGAAGCACTTATAGGGGAACGAATATCTGAAGCAGAGTCATTCTCATTAGTTGGTGTATCTACCTTTGGCCTCTCCAGATTTTGCACCGATCCATGGTGTACAAAAATTCGAAATACAAAATAGATAAGTTTATTAAACGCCAAAAAAAGTAAGGAACAAAACAAATCAGTAAATCCATAAACTAAAAAATAATGAAAAATGAGCGGTAGCTAAAGTTTTGCTGGCGAAGATAAGAGCAGGAGATATGCAATTAATGAGTGAAAATATTTTAAAGAATTAAAGGAGGACGTATAACATATATATGTCGAAATGAACATATATGTACAGAGGAATAAGATTATACGCTGTACACCCTCTTCTTCTCCGGTGATGGATCCACATAAACTGATTGAGAAGAAAGAATCATAAATAAGTTGTAGCTATAGAGTAAGATAAATGGTGCATAAACCAAGATCAGAAACTAACAAGATAGGAAAACTAATGGAATTTTTCAAGACAACGGTTGGTGCTAATAACAAATTAAATGTCGCAATCTATTGTTCTTTTAAACAATCATAAAGCGAAAACATGAAATGCCATTTGTAAATAATTAATGAAGGTGGCTAAAGGTTTTATATAGTAACATCCGGTTCCTTAATTAGTTGCTTCACACAGAATCGTGATTGAGATGTCGGAGTGAATTTTCTTTTAAAATCATATACCAAAACACACGAAAATATAATTTCAAATTTCAGATCAATTAGGTATCTTGGAAGGTAAAATGCAAGCATAAAAGTACAATTTGACTTACATCAGACTTGAGTAACAAACAAAGAACAGACATAGTCTAATAAACAGGATGTGAGAGAAGAGATGCAACTCTCCAACCTCCTTCATACTGGACATAAACCTTTCCGAAGCCATGCGTTTTAATCTGTGCCAAAAATAAAGTGTTTAAATATGCGTAAACACCGATAGGTATCAGGAAAATAAGTTTGCAACTCGAAATAGGCACATAAAAATAGCTGCATCATTACCAAACAAAACAAGAACGGATAGACATCGCGCTTCAATGATTCGTTAAAGATTGTAGGAAATCCAATTCAGACCCGGGAACTGGCACCCACAGAGAAGAACCAAAATTGTAAGCAAAATCGATAAATATTCAACGGCGATTCAGCAATTGTGGGCGACGAGTGAGGACAAAGAAGCAAGAGAAGAAAAATAAAATCGAGAATAAAAGAAAAGAGAAAAGAAGAAGCAAAGAGGTCGATCATACACCTCGTGAAAAGAAGGGAAAAGAAAAGAAAAGACAGAGGCGTATAATAACACGGACAAACTGTAAGAAGGAGATAATAAAAATGAACCAATAGTATTCATCAGTAAAGAATCAAAAGATAATAAATAAGATCGACTCATACGATGGAGGATATCTAGGAATGTCTCGGCAGCAACCTTGCAAATATCAGGAAAATCAGGGAAATAGAAACCTTACTTGCTGTAGCATGAGAAAAATAAAATAAATGCTCACAATAGAACATAAGTGGAAATACATCAGAGGCAGTAGGCAATTCGATTAAATACAAGATACTACTAATAATAAAGATACGAACCCGTGAACAAAATTAGTGGTTCCATATAGCGGATCGACAATCCAAGTCGGTTCATCGGTCAATTCTGTGGTGCCAAAAGCAGCAGTAGTTTCTTCCCCAACGAACTAACATGAAACAAAAGACTAACGTCAAGATACGGAGTTCACTATAGCGAGCATCCAACTGGAAAAAAAAACGTTACCAAGAAATCCAAAACTGTAGTTTGAGAAAATTGAAAATGAGTTCTTCGCATTTCTTGTCAGTCTCTGTGACCAAATGTACCTACACGGAACGATCGACACACATCAGCATATAAAAAAATTAAAAACAAACAAACGCGTCCCAATATATAAACTCCTAACATCATCATTCATCAGAACAAATTTCCGAAACCCGAAGAAGCAATCGAAGCATTACCGAAGTCGACAATCGGAAAGCTGTGCTTAACAGTGAGCATAAATAGCACAGTCCCAACAGTTTTTAGAGTAATACGATTTACGAAACAGATACCAATTAATTACGATTTATGTAACAGTAAACAAATCTATTACAGATTACTAAAGATATACCTGTAGCAACAAATTCTTATCTGCGAATTTAACAAACAAGAAAATACTTGCACAAAGATAATTTATTGAATTAAAATAAAATATTGCGGGTTACAAACTCTAATTTAATCCTCTGATTATTCTCTCAAGAAAAATATATGATTGACTTTGAATTTCGGAGACGAGTCGTTGATTTGATCTTCTCCGGATTTGATTTGGATTTGAATAACGTCTTCCGAGGGTCTTGCGACTTGAATCTCGGATCGAACGCTGAACTTTGACGGATTTTGACTTGAAGATCTTGGAGTTCTTGATGGATTTGGCCCTTCAATCTTCCTTCGATCTTGATTTGATGTTAATAACGTTAATTCGAGGGTTTAGCACCGTAATCTCGAATTAAACGCTTTAACGCCTTGATTTGATGAAGAACACCTTCGATTTGATGAACTCCTTCGATGTGATGAAGAACGCCTTGAATTTGATGAAGAACGACTTGAATATTGTAGAGAGAATTTTCTCCTACGGTTTTTATTCTTCTTGAGTTGTGCTTTGAATTGTGTAGAGAGGGTCCCTATTTATAGTGGTAGAATAAGAGTCCTACTTAAAGTCTACTTGATGACGTGGCGCGATTCGATTGGCTCTCTTTAAATTGATATTTATCTCTTATAACTTGGAAGAGAAGAAATAATCCTATTGGCCAATAATTAATTGATAATTATCCCCATAACTTATTTTGTTAGATCAATTATAATTTAATTTAGACACAATTTAATTGGCTAATTTAATTAACCAATTAATTAATTTTATGCGTCTACAAATGCCCCCTCGAGACTTGTTCACGGACAATGCATCTTGGAGTGGATGAGTCTCGATAATTGCTCAACTTTGATTGCAGCTTGATCTAACAAAGAACATATATCTTTTGAAATCATGACTGAACTTAGAGAGATTCAAAGTTGCCTACGTACCCTATAAAGGGATCAAGTCATAACGTAGTTCAAAATATATCCTTTTGAGGGATGTCGTGCACAATTTATACTCATGTGGACAATGAGAAATATTTGCAGTTTAAGCTCGTATTGAAGGAGCATTTGACTTGAATTTGTAGATAGTTTATGCTCGTATCAAGGAGCCTTGACTTGATTTGAATATATAGATAGTTTATGCTCGTATCGAGGAGCCTTGACTTGATTTGGATATATAGATAGTTTATGCTCGTATCAAGGAGCTTTGATTTGACTTGGATATGTAGATAGTTTATGCTCGTATCAAGGAGCATTGATTTGACTTGGATATATAGATAGTTTATGCTCGTATCAAGGAGCCTTGATTTGACTTGGATATGTAGATAGTTTATGCTCGTATCAAGGAGCCTTGATTTGATTTGGATATATAAATAGTTTATGCTCGTATCAAGGAGCCTTGATTTGATTTGGATATATAGATAGTTTATGCTCGTATCAAGGAGCATTGACTTGACTTGGATATATAGATAGTTTATGCTCGTATCAAGGAGCCTTGATTTGACTTGGATATGTAGATAGTTTATGCTCGTATCAAGGAGCCTTGATTTGATTTGAACTTGTAGACATTTTAAACTCGTGTCATGGAGTACTTCATTTGATTTGGACATGTAGACCTTTTAAACTCGTGTCAAGGAGTACTTCATTTGGTTTGGACATGTAGACCTTTTAAACTCGTGTCAATGAGTGCTTCATTTGATTTGGACATGTAGACCTTTTAAACTCGTGTCAAGGAGTGTTTCACTTGATTTGGACTTGTAGACCTTTTAAACTCGTGTCAAGGAGTGCTTCATTTGATTTGGACATGTAGACCTTTTAAACTCGTGTCAAAGAGTGTTTCACTTGATTTGACTTGTCGTATTGCATAGGGTGTTGGTTCCTCAAAAGACTTGTCCCCATCCTCATGATCTTCTTGTTCTTCTTCAATATGTTCTTCATTGAGCTGGTACGTCTTTTGGAATGGTGGTTCTTCAATTTGATTTGCAAGTATGCTCAACTGTTAGAGTAGGTGACCAACAAGCCAACATGTGGCTGTGGTCTTTCGTATTTATTATTGTAATAAACGAACCTTTATTCGTATTAATGATAAAACACCTTGGCATTCTATATCTTTGTCCCTTTGTCACAAGCATAGATATAGTCCTTACAGTTATTACAAGTACTAGTAATTGATCGTTAGGATCGTGAGATATTTACTCAAGTATTATAACTGTTAAACATGTTCCTAGTCGAAGGGTTACGCCACTAATGAGGATATCGGCCTTTCCCATTAAGACTAGCACTTAGTGTGTGTGTACTGCATCTCATCAGTAAACGGTATTGTGATATCGGCATGCATAAGTGGGTGCTCGTAAGTTGACGAGTTCACTGAACTCCCTCACCCTAGAAATCTCTAAGTGGTTCCCAATAATCGAGTAGAGATATATCTATGGTATAGTTGTACACCATTAGTCCTTATGACCTAGACATCACCGTGACTTCACTAGAGGACCAGCTGTATCGTGACCTGTCTCTGAGTTCCACCGAGGACCATCCCAAGGGCCAGTGTTCGTGCAGTCCGAAATCTAGTGGGAGGTCTGTGCATTGTAGTCGGGGATTCGATCGCTAGAATAGTCTTGGATGTCCTGTGTGTTCTGATAGTTTGTAATCATTCTAAGTCTCTGGCCAGAGCTGACTAAGTGATGATTAGAGAATTCGATTCTCTAAGTCATGCACGTAAGGATTACAACACTTAGAACGATCGCACCGTCATCGAACACATAAAGAGGTCTCGATGAACCAATGCCTCTAGTTCGATCGGGACATATGAATCGAAGGGACCGTACTGTACGTTAACTATATCTGAAGGTTCTTGCAGGCACTTCATTTGTATCTAGGGAATCATGACGCGTAGTTGCTAGACGCCAATCTTGATTCGTTGGGTGATTAAGGTGAAACGAGTTTCATCTTAATCGTAACTCTAAGGGGACGAGTTTTGACCACAAAGGGTTGTGGGCCCACGGCTAGCTTACACCTGAACCATCGAGGGTCACACTGCTCGTGCACATGAGATCTCTGAATAAACGGTCAGAGATAAAATGGTTTATCTTTGCATGATTGGAAGTCAATATGATTGGGTCCAACATTCGTAATTTGGAATTATGAATGAGAATAAGAAAAGGAAAAGAATAGGCAAATGTATTAGTGGACTTTCTAAATCGGGAAGTTTCCAAATTTAGAAAGTGCACTGAATTAGGGTTTCCACTTTTGGAAAGTTGGAAATTGAGAGTTGGCACTCGTAATGACGAGGACATTATAATGATTCCGAAAATGTAATCGTTACAGTTTTCCGATGATCGAATTGAGAGAGATGAGCAAGTAAAAGAACTAACGAACTTAAGCTGTTGGGCCCGGTCCAACTTAAGCCCGTTAGGGTTTTATGCAAGACATATAAATACTTGATTTATAGGTCTTGCACACACACAACTAAGAGAACACACGTTCATAACCCTAGCCGCTGCCTCTCTCGATCAGCCACCCTCTCCCACGGCCACCACCACCGCGCCGTCGCCAGAAATTCGCCGGAATCGGCCACCCGTTGTGCCACGTGTTTAGTAGATCGAAGTATACGAGGTGAAATCCAAGAGGAGGAAGATCGAAGAATCGAAGATGCGAGAAGGTAATTCCGAAAAACTGCTCTCGGATTTTCTGCGCTGCCCAGCGAGAAAATTCGCCATAAATCAACCGGTCATCCGATGGACGTGAAATTTTGACAGCAGCTTCACGACTCATAAATCTACCATCGTCCAGAAGGAATTGTTCATCCAGTAAATACGCATGGAGATACGGAAGTCGGAGCAAGGCTGTAATTTCAGATCAGCAAACAGGTTGGATCAATAGGAGTGGGAAGAGCAGCTAGCCATCTTCTCTGCGTGTGAGATTCACGCGCCGCCGTGGCCGTCTCGCCGCTCTTGCCGCTGCACCGCTGCTGCCCCGATTGTACGGATTGGTTTCCGTAGCAATCTCGACTTGCTAAGCGCTCCTACCTCACGCTTCAAGAGGTAAACACACGAATCCCTTGTTTCGGTTCGTTTACGTTTAAACAATGTATATTCATGTTCGTTTTCGTACGATTTTATGTGATTACGTGAAATCGTTTTAATCGTTGCGAGCATGTTATTTGGTTTAAACGCGAGCATGTTAATTGATTTAAATTCGGTTAAATTATTTAGCATGTATGTTGTTTTTAATTTCGCTGGAAGCGCAAAGGTACGCAATTAATTGATTTAATTTGTCGGGCATGTGCTTGTGTGCTTTAAAGTTGTTTAAATCACATTAAATTTTTATTTTCCGCTGCGTACACGTGCCCGAAACCCAACAGTGGTATCAGAGCTCGTTGCGCAATTAATTGCGTTCGTTTTTTTATGCTATGAATTTATGCATGATTTGATTTATTAAAGTAGTGATTGTTGTAGTATGTAATTGGGAGTTTTCGTAAGTTTAAAATATTTTTGAAATATTTTTTAGAATTTTTCCAGCTTTAAAATTGTTTAAAATTGGAAAATCGGATCTGAAATTATTTTTAAAACGTCGGTTTTTTTAATTGTTCGGATCGAACCGGTCAGACCGGCCGGTTCGATGGTTGTGCACGATACAATTGACCGAATCCAAGTGGATTAGGGTCGGTCAGACCGGTTCTCGGTCCGACTGACCCAGCCCACTCATTTGGGTCAACTGGATCGGGCATAACCGGACCACTTCGGTCCGAACCGGTCAGACCGGTTGGGCCGAACCGGTTCACTGAAAAAAAAAAAAAAAAAAAAAAAAAAAAGTTTATTTCAGATTTTCTAAAATTAAACTTAAAACAAATTGATTTTAATTTTTGGAAAATTATTTTCAATTAATCCCAATTAGATAATTGAGTCAACAATCATCTATTTTAGTAAATAGGTGTTAGATTAATCAGATTGATTTAAATTGTTAAATTGATTTCAATTAATAGAACACAAATATAATATT